ACAGGGCGGGTGAGGAGGGAGGGGGGTGGGGGCTGATGGGGGCCGCCGGGTACGCGGGGCGAGACGAAAAAAATGACGGATGATGATTTCCCGACGCGCACACGATGACTCTACGACAGAAACGCACGCGAACGCTTTTGTGCATAAGATCTAATTGCAGGAAACGACGGATGATGATTTTCCGATCCGATGATCCCGCCGCGAAGGGAAACCGCGTGACAATATCGCGTTCCTTGTAAACAAATTTCACGGGCCGATCGCTCGGAACCGTGGGCTTTTCTTCGTCCCACGGCTCCGCCGACGCCGGCGACCGCCATTACGGTCCTCGAGCTTATTGTTAACTTTGTCTGAAAGCCGCTGGCGCCAGGAAGAAGAATGAATTAAACTAAGGAGCCTCGTAATGGGCCGAAGAATGGCTCGCTACTTTTGTCTCTCCGTGATACCGACGGAAAAAACGGGACACCGTTTTCATCGAGGCTTGGGCCTCGCGAGAACACAACTTTATCCGTTCAGATACGCAATCGTCCTCGATTGAAGTGGACCGTATAATTATACCATTTAAAATAACCTTGAACTAGGATCAACACGAGAGCTAAAAAGTGTCCCAGCAAGTGCCTGGAAATCCCAAGAAGGGTTGAAAAACGCAAGAAGAAGGAAACAGAAGTCTGTGGCCTCGAGCACGCGGTGTCCACCCCGTTGGACTGTCCCCGATTCAGGGCGTCGACCAATCTGCCCATTGGCGTCTCGGGACAAGTATGAAAACACTCCCCGAAATTCTTGCGGCATTACAGAGAGGGAGAGGGGAGGGATCGAAACAAAGTAATCCGCGACACGCGGAGGAGGACGAGCGATGGGGCTCGACGGTGTCGGAGAGCTCTCGTGGGCTCCTTTTGAAAAATGTACGTCCATCGGCCGGCCGAGGGTGAAGGGCGCGTTTCCGGGGGCGAAGGGGGACGACGGCTGCGTAAGCCCTGACACGTAGATCGAAGTTGACGGGCCTGGCGTGACCGGCGAGTGTTGGGTGTGGACACAAGTCGAGCGAAGATAAACCAACACCGAGGGGGCAGCCAGCCACTGTGCCTAGAATTATGGAGTAATGAGAGAACGGGGAGAAATATCACCGTTCCGGCGACTAAATACGTCGTTTCCCCGAGCACGGGGACACGCGATCGATGCTTCGATGATTCGTCAACTCCCGGACGCGGTATCATCGTCTTCCTGTTGCTTGCGGAGTAACCTTCGCCGAGAAAATTGGGTAATAGCTCGTCGGTGAACATCATGCGACGTTCGGTACACCCGTTCGCTAGAGCATTTGACGATGTTCGGAGCAGGTTTCGGAACGGTTTTGGCCGGCTTGCGACAACGCTGATAGATCACGGTTGGAGCGTTCGCGTGCTCGCGACGCGGCGACGTTTAGTAGGCTGGATTCTGTGTGCGGTCTCTACCTGATGGAAGCCAAGGTAACTTTCTATGCTGTGAGTGGCGAAGAACACCTCTCCGTCGCAGGTCAGGATGAGCAGGAACCCGTTCAGCGCCTGTAACACACGAATTCCATCGTCAAAATTGTTGCACCGTCTCGATTGTCAGCTTTCTACAATTATCGAGATATTTCGAGTCCCTGTGTTCGTAGATTATTCGAATTCCCGGTGTTTCGAAAGGTGAAAAAATCCTTCCCCGATAACCCAGAAAGCAGTCGAAAGAGAGAGAGAGAGAGAGAGAGAGAGAGAGAGAGGGCTCGTTTCCTTTCCGAAAACGCGGGCCCGGCTGAAAACGCTCCGGAAAGTTTTCCCATTTATCGACGTCCCGGCTCGCCGGCTTTCGAATACCAAAACGAGCCCGAAACTCGAACGTACGAATATCGAAGCCCGAAATATCCGTCCCAGTTTAAACGGCCGAGAGCTATACACCGCCGACCCGGGGAACCGTTTAAGCCCCGTCTACTCGCTTTGTTGCGGGCTGAGCCTGTATTGTTTTGTTTTATTTCGACCCGTTGCCGTAGGTGCCCGTGCCTGGCACGCCAGACAGCCTTTATATTGTTCGGAAATGCGAGGAGAGCCTCGCCTCTGCATCGGTGTCCTTCGATCCCGTCGGCTCTCTGCGATTTTCCCTTCATCGATCCGTCGCAATCGCAGAAAATCACGTACCCAGTTGCAAAATTCGTTTTTTTCCGAATCGTGCGACGTTAAATTCGAGCTGACGATGTCGCATTCGAAAGCTGGACTGTGGTCGTGTTTTGGCAAAATTCTCGAAGGTTTTAGCATTTTCCATGGTGGATTTAAACACTTTTAAAATTATTTAATCAATCAATCAAATTATTTAAAATTTAATTTCTATCCATTTGCTTAATTTTATTAAGATTCGCAAGCGATAAGAATGTTGAAATAGTAATCGATGTCATGATTAAAATACCTTAATAAATTGATTAAAATATAATTAATTTATTAAAATACTTTCAACGTGTTAAACAGGGAATTTTATTTAACTATTGCTGTTCTTTCATCCTCTTTACGCAGATTTGCTATTAGTTCAGTAGCAAATTTAATTGTGTATCACTTTTCGAGAATATACATTTCGAAAATTGCCCTATTCTCGAGCCTACTGCCATAATCTGTCAATTATTTTGTCAAATCGTATATTCAATTAACGTTCCTATTTTTCCTAATTTTCCTTCAATCTGTAGACAAAAATGGACAATTTGGGAAAAGGATTATTATCATTTTTATAATTACCGATTGTCAACAATTATAAAAACGAGGTACATGGCTCGAACAATCGTATCTCTTCTTCCCAAATTGTCCATTTTTTTCTTCACAAACTGAAGGAAAATCAGGGAGAATTTACTGTACTTCCCAACCCTTCCTTCCCATCGAAAAGCAAAATTCTCACAGATTCTTGCTTTCCTTGATAACTATAAATGACAACCAAAAAAAAAGAAAATAATTATAATTATCATAAACGAATTTATTCAAACATGATCTCCGAAACTATAAAACTCCGAAACACTTCAATCTCGAGAACTCAGAGAAAATTCAGAGAATTCGGAGAACATTTTGGCCGTCGCGATAAGGGTTAAAAATAAGAAGGGATGAATTTCGGAATATTCCGGCCGGGAAATTGAAGCCCCGTGTTCCGCAACAGGCCGAAGAGCTTCCGAAGGGAGTAGCCTCGGGACACCATAACCGATTGACCTGGGGGACGGATATCGAAGCGATCGCATGCGCGACGGATGCTGCGATTTGATTGGTTAATCCGGAGGGTGGGTTTCTCTCGGCGTCCGCGTCAATACGGATCCGCGCGTAGGGTGAGTTTCCCCGAGTCTCCTGTACCCCGAATATATAAGTTGTAATAGGATTTTCTCGTTGCCCCTACCCCCCACCCGGCGGACCCGTAATGGCCGACGTGGCCATTTCTGTAAAACGTCTCGGCCCCGTGGGATCCTCGGTAATCGGCGCGATTGCGTTCGAACTCGGGAATGGGATGATTCATTAGAAAATTGTTTTCTTGCCGGCCGTCCAGCTCCGTGACCGGTCAAACGAATATTACGAAATGCCGCGCGTCGAACGTTTCACGAATTTCACCGATCTGCAATTTGCTGCAATTCTTCCAGTCGGATGCGATCGTTTGATTGCAATATTCAGCGCGAATGCATCTAAACGTTTTTTTAGACTGTTGGTACCGTTGATTCTACCCTTGCTAATCACAGTAAATTCTCTCTAATTGAGCCGTTTATTTTGAAAGTGGCATAAGTCACTTTGCTTTTAAGTCGATATATTTAAGGGTTTGCGTTTTAACACGTTTAAACATATGGATGCTAACTTTCGAGAAGATTTACTTGTATTCGTTATCTCAGGATACTGATATTTTTCTCAGTATAAATAATTTCGTATAAACATTCAAAAATCACCACTTTTCATCACGGTTAAAGTGACTTATGCCACTTTCAAAATAAACGGCTCAATTGACGCTCGGATCGCGCACAAAAATGGACAACTTGGGAATAGGAGCTACAATTATTCGAGCCTCGCGCCTCGTTTTTATAATTGTTGGCAATCGGCGACTGTAAAAACGAGCCTTGACGCTCGAACAATCGTATCCCCTCTCCATAAATTGTCTATTTTTGGGCCCAATCCGAGCGTGTCAATTAGAGAGACATTACTGTAGTCGTTTCCATCCCCTAATTTTGCATTGAATTAGCAAAGTGCCAGGTTGACGAGGATGAAATATTATTAACATTAGATTTACGGAACACAAAGAACAGTTGTCTTATATTAGTTTATAAAAGTAACGATAAGACATTTATTCAATCTTGAACAAGTGTTATTGTCATATTTGTCGCAAGTAACATGTAAATTGAATAAATAACTCATAAATGTATCTATACGATGTGAATAATAATATATAAATAATATAATAATAATAATAATAATATAAATAATCGTAAATTAAAAAATTAGTGACCCGTCATTTCGACGGGTTCCATAAATCTAGCGTTAATTTTGCTAGGGAATTTTTTGCGCAGTAACTGTTATAACTTTTGCAGTCAAATTGACAAGGTTTATTTGTACGTATTTCAACGACGTTTTGGAATTTTCTGGGATAAAAAAAAGTTGAAATTGAATTGAAATCTTTTAAAAAAGGTCATCTCAGTGTCCATAATTCTTGGCCATTCTGCTTATCCGACATAAAAAAAAACGTGAAAGTTCCTCAATTAGTATAAATTTGTCTATATAGCAAGTATTAAAACAATTGAAAAAATGTCGGTCATTTTGACGGGTTCCTTAAATCTAGCGTTAACTACAAATTTCAACCTAATAGCCAACCTAACTGCACAGTAATCTCTCTTAAATCTAGAAATCGGCGAACATTTTTCCGAAAAGCTTCAAAGAAATTTACGGTTGCAATAAACAAGGAATTGCTCGCGAGACATAGTTATCAATGAAAAAGACATACAATCGTTCTACAATCATTACAGAAATTATAATTGAAGCACAAACAGCAATCTTCTTTACCGAATATATCATCCCTAACAACGGTCCAACAATTTCGTTACGAAAAATGCTTCGCCGGAACGAAAGATCGCGTTCAATTGATTTCTTGATTTCTCGAAGAGACGAAAGACCTTTCCATCGCGGGGATGATTCGGCGACAGACACAAGGGACGAAGTGAACTCGAGGGATTTTTATTTTTCGCGTGAGCTGACCGGTAAATCAGTCGCGTGCCGGTTGCGAGTACTCGCGTGTTCCGTCCAAGCGTGAACTTCTAATACCCCTTCATCCTCACCTTGACTCTGTATTAGCGGGTCGCCAATAATACTTCACGCACGAAATCTTTCCATTTTCTTCGCTCATGCAACTAGAAGTCAGGGGCACGGACACGGGCCGCGGCCAGTATGCAGATCCTAGAAATAACTAGGATCGGAATTATAGCTTTCGATGCCGCGCCGCGGTGCCCCTTCGGCCCCGGCACGTGCAATTTTCCTTCTAATTCGTTTTTGCGATCGTGCACATCGTTAACGCTGCACTTGCGGCCGCCCGGTTTACAGTGCATTCCGTTCTGGACCGACTCGAACCGCTGTTACCATGATTTTTCATCTGTAATTTACCTCATTACCGCACTTGTTTGAATTGCGGCAAGAAACCTTCGCCGTGTGTTTAGAATTCTTTCGTTCGCTCTTCGAGACGTCTATCATACAAATTTTCCAGTAGGGTGCAGATGTACTAGTGTTTCCGTGCCCCCCGGAGTAAAAAAGAAAAATGTCGCCTGTGCCGGCAGATTGAAAACGTATAGAAAAAGAAAATATAAATTGATGACCTTTTTATTGTGTTTACCTATCAACACGTAGGATTCAAGGAGAAGTATCAATTTATATGAAGTATTAATTTATATATCAAAGTATTAATTTATATGAAGTATCAATTTTTATATATATGCCGCCAGATTAAAAATGTATGGAAAAAGAAAAGTTTCATATATAAATTGATGACCTTTTTATTATGTTTACCTATCAACGTGTTGCATTCAAGAAGTATCAATTTACATGAAGTATCAATTTATATGAACTATCAATTTATATATATATATAAATATATGCCGTCAGATTAAAAACGTATGGAAAAAGAAAAGTTTCATATATAAATCGATGATATTTTTATTATGTTTCCCTATCAACGTGTAAAATTCAAGAAGAAGTATCAATTTATATATGAAACTGTTCTTTTTCCATGCGTTTTTAACGCCAATTTCCGGCGGCACAGAAATTGGGACAGCATTTTGAACAAATTGGGAGCATAATTTATTCAAAATAACCTTGACATAATCACAAGTTTCGTATAAATCTTTATCTGTGGCTATGAATGCAGGCGAGCATTAAAAAACGAGCATTACAGTAATTTTGATCGCAAGTAGAAACAACGTAAGACATTTTTTCAATGCTTAATCGTTGAGCAATGGCAACAAAAATGGATTGACTCGGTTTTGCAGTATATCAACTAAAACACAAAACGTTATTGTACGTCTCGGCACTTGGTTTCTCGC